TCCGTCGTTCAAGTAGTTTGACAGGCATTCTCTAGAAACTGCCCCTTTTTCGCAGTGAGTAATGAAGCCCTCATGGGTAGCAGTTCTCACGCCTCCCTTGCTTGTCCCACCCACTGCAACTCAAGAGCTATTTCCCGTCAAGAGTTCAGTTTTTGCACTGACTGTGTTTTTCTTTTTTTTCAATGTAGATGGTATTAGGATCGGATGACGCGAAGAAACGATCAGTGAGCCAGAGGCAGCAGGGTTCGATGTGCTGACATAAAACGAGCAGGCCCGGAGAACACCTAAAGTGAGGGCGCCAGGGGGTCGTTACGGTGTTCTTCAGAATTTTTCTGTGCTTTTTTTCTTCCCTTGAGAGTCACTTGGCAACTATAGGTTCGTTACTGAACGCCACTACCAACAATACGCAATCGCTCCTTAAGAACAATATCGTTCTTTCATTTCAGGACGTTCAGCGAGTTAATAAAGCACCATACCATAATGGAAACATCCCTTCTTGTTATATTTGTCTCGTTCAGCGAATCACTGATAGAATAATCGGTTGTGAAAGTTCGATGATCCATGGATACCTCAAAATTGGATAGATTACGGGAAGAAACAATTTAGTAACAATTGTAAATTGCGAGAGTTACGCATACCATTGAATTCTCGACATTTCCTTCTAACGTTCGCATGGTCTCAGCCAGTGCTACAGCTTCATTTCCTGTTCGTACAGAATTGTCGAAATCTTGTTCCTGCAAAATCAACACGTTTTACGGCCCGCTTCGCGCTTACGGTATGGGAGGAGTCACTCGCACCGCTGACCCATTTTCTCCAATAAGTCCCTGAGCTCCTGTTCTAAAATGACACTAGTGTGAGGCCCAGCGACACGCCTAACCACAGCTTAACTCGCTACTTGTTTGCGCCCCCTCACTCTGGTTATTCTCTACCCCTGATTGCACGTTCGTTGCGGATCTAGTACCAGGAGAAGATCTGCACTCTGATGATAGAGCGTCCGGGAACGGTTTCCGAGTATCGCATACGCCCTTCTGCCTTTCCGTGCGCTCTCAATTGCCGAAAATGTTACACTTGTACAGCTGCCAAGCCGATCTTCGCCACAATGACAAGGACCGCCTTGGGGGGGGGGAAGTGGGTGCACAATTTGCCTTCTACTCATTTAGCACAGCTTCTGGTATTTGAACTCCACTAAGACATTTTTTCAATGGCAGAAGGCAAATACGATTGCTCGAAATATCCAATCGCTTGTGTTACGAGCAACTTGTACTCAGTCCCCTTGATCCGAGATGACCGGTCCATCTATAGCTCAACCTTATCAAAAAAGAAACCTGAATATCATCCATAGAGTCCTGAGGACCAGCACTTGAGATAGCTACTTGAGCTAACGAAATGTTCTCGCCCTGAAATAATGACATTGACTTTAGCTCACGACAAAACAGAAGACAGGATAATCAAGTGGAAGTGACTAACCATCTCGGTGATGTCCATCTCCTCATCACGTCCTGGGATAGCACCGGGTTCAGAGGCAATTGAATGGTCACCAATCTGAATGAGGGTTTTGCTTCGGGTATGTAGATTCAAAAACCAAAACGAATGGAGCAAATCACTACAGGGACCCAATGGGGCCGCGCTAATGCCCTGTTAAATGCTCGCATTGCTGATAATCGGCCTTAAGTGGGTACGGTCATTAACACTACAGTATGTCGGGGCGTGTGAGCGGCGCGTGGGTTTT